AAAGGAGCTGACAGTTTCCATGAAGGTGTGATTGGCTAAACCCAGGGACTAGGGATGTTTCCTGTGTCTTTCTGAGCTCAACTTTTGGGTGCCCACGCCTCTCTTTGAAAAGGGTTTGGTGTCTGGGAACCTAGACATCTTTCAGTAATGATGTAAGTCACTCAGAAAAGTGGAGGCCCTGGAGTGAGAAAGGAAAAGACGAAAGGAAAGGGGAAAAAATCCGTTTAGCAGCCTTGTTCTGTTTGATCTCCCAGACAGCCTGGTAATAATGGAAGAATGCTGGAGATGGGGATAGAGGATGGTTGGGTTCCAAGTGGCACTCTCCTCCCTGAGCTCGTCTGCTGTTCTGACTTGCAGACTTCAAACATGACTGGGGGATTCCTGGAGGACAAAGGAATTCAGGGCTGGGGCTTGGATCTCAGTCAAAAATAACTCATGTCTTCATCTCAGGCAGGCAAACGGCGGCAGCTCAGAGCTGGTTTGCCAGCTTCTCTGAAGATTGGAGCTACAGGTGGGGACGCGAGACCGCCAGGGTTGGTTTAGGTGTCTTTTAGGGTGAGAAAGGGCTTCAAAGTGTGTGGACCCAGATGAGGGAGACATCAGAATGGAAAACAGTTAAAGACAAGACCCGAGCAGGAGAGGTCCTGGAGAAAAAGTCACCCACACTTAACCCCCCCTTCTCAGCACTGCCATTTCTGTTGAGCGGTAATTACAGCCCTGGATGTTTCTTCCCTGGCTTCTCATTAGCTCAAGGTGTCCACAAACAAACTCCTCACCCCTCTTCCTGGCTTGCCAGCTTTACTAATGGCAGCCCCATTGTTTTACGTTCAGAACATCAGATCTTAAAAAAAAAGTCTTCTTCCCTTGATGGGTGCATCCTAGAGACTCAGCTCCCAAATGGCCTTTCCTCTCCCCCTCTCCCTTACCCTAAACCACCAAAAAACCAAACCCTTTGCCATCGAGTCAATTCTGACTCATAGCAACCCTATAGGACAGAGTAGAACTGCCCCGTAAGGTTTCCAAGGAGCGCCTGGTGGATTCAAACTGCCGACCTTTTGGTTAGCAGCCATAGCTCTTAACCACTACACCACCAGGGTTTCCTCCCTTACTTTACTGGACTGTAATTAGAGGATTATCTCATTTTCTCCCAGGAGGCCAGGGCCTGGGTCTTACTCCTATTTGTTTTCTCAGCACCTCGGCCAGGGGCTGGAAAATAATGGACACTGGCAACGCGTTAGTTGAATTGCACTGTTGAGCTCCTGCCAAGTTAATCTTCCTAAAATGCTCCTCTAGTTTGAAGCCATCACCGCTTCTCCATGGCCCATTGGGCGAGTCCAGCTTCCTCAGACTGGCACTCAGGGACTTTCACGACATGGTTCTCACCTGCTTTGCCAGCCTCACTTTGTGCTCAACGACTTACTAGCTCCCTAACACAGCCAGCAGGTTTCCTATCTCTGCGACTTTGTTACAGCGGTTCCCTCCACCTGGAAACCCTTCCACACTCTCCTCTCCAAAGCTGCCCCATCTTTTGAGGCTCATCAAAATAGCACATTCCTGCCCCTCTGAACTGGGTTTGAACCCTTGGAGTTTCCACCACTCTCCCCAGGCTCTTGTCCTGTTCTACGTTGACTTAGAGTGTCTTGTTCGGAAGACGAAAGGAGGTCAACGGGAGTGGGAGTGCTTATAAGATGAAGAGCAGGAATGTTTACTGTCATCTTCCATTAGACCCTGGGTTCATCTATGAATGCCTGGCCTCTGGCAGCATTCTGTGAAAGTGAATGGGCACCATGCCCATTCCCTCTTCTACCCCCAATATGGCATAGAACATGCCACAGTCCTTAGGCTGGCTTAGATTGGGGTGGCTCAAAAGCTATCAGGTAGCCTGGCCATTCCCATTCCTTGGAAGTTTCTGGGTTTGGGGGCAGCCTCTCTGCCTACCCATCAGGCCTCTCCGGCTTCAGGCCCCATTTCCCACTGCCTGCTGGGGATGTGGGTCATACCGAGTTGCAGATTCACCTGCGGCGAAGGGGATGAGGCAACAGTGAAGACAAAGGTCAGAGTGTGGGCCTCAGGGTCACAGAGGATGTTGATGCCATGACTCATCCTAATAGTCTCCAAGTCCAGAAGGCCAGCAGTGGCCAGGGAGAAGGAAGCAGCCTCCTGAAGAGAGTATCTGGTTAGTGGTCAGGAATTCTTTCCTAGGAGACTTCTGAAAACACCATCTGCCAAGGTGGGGTGAAATGTTCCTCTTGGGCAGAGGGAGGAATGAGATGCCCTTTCATACTTCTCAGATCCTCCCTCTCTTTATTCTAGCCAGTGCTGTCCTCAGGACTTCTTCCTTGGACAGTACCTCCCATCCCCCTAGGCTGAGGCCAACCCTTCTCCTGACCATCCACCACACTATAGCCAGAGGGATCTTTTAAAATATTACTCTTCTGCCTACAATCCTTCAACGGCTCGCTATTGCCCTTAGGGCAAAGTCCAAACTCACAGTCCTCCCCTCTAGACTGGGCTCTTTGTATTGAGCACCCTGCTGTAATTTCCAGCCATGCCAAAGTGTTTGTAGTTCCCTCTCATACGATGCTCCTTCACATACCAGCTTTGCCCATGCTGCTCCCTCTGCTGGAATGCCTCCCCTTCACCTTTCCCACTTTGCCTGGTTAAAGTCTTTAAGACACAGCTCTGGTGGCACCCCTTTGGGAAGTCTTCCTGGACCTACAGAGACCACCTCCTTTGGGTTTCTACACCCTCTGGGTTTCCCTTGACCCAGAACTTGTGTTGAACGTGGCTGTCACCTCCAATTAAATGGTTCCTGGAGAGCAGGGTCTGGGTCCCATGCATCTTTGTACTCCCAAAGCTCTATCACTGGCACTTACTAGGTGCTCAATAAATGCTGATGGAACTGAACTGAGGTTGCTTCCACCTGAGGGGATGACAGAGTTGAATATGTTGATAAATGCTGTCCCTGGGCTGGGGAACAGGCAGAAACCAAGGGACAACTGGGGTCAGAACATGGCCAGGGCTGCTGGGCATCTCTGCAGAGAGGCCAGCCCCTCTCTGAGCCCTTCTTCCCCTGGAGCCAGGCTTCCTGACCCACTTCCCGAGGCCCAAAGATGTAAGTGTACCAGAACCAGCACCCATGTGGGTCATACAAATGACAGTGGTGGGGTAGGGGTGGGGACAGTGACACTGACCTCAGGGCCCCAGTACCCTCTTGTCCTTCTGGGCTTCTTTCTACAAAGGAGTCAGCCTGTCTTCTGTCCCCTGAAGGCTGTTTTCAAAATCACACCCTATGTAGACAGTTTTATTTACAAGGAAATCTTGGCAGGATCTTGACTTGTTAGTAGAGTAGGAAGCGGCGGGGGGTGGGGGGTGAGAAACAAAAATAGTTGAAATGATCACACTTTCTGAAGCCAAGATGAAAACTGCTGTCTGTAGCAAATTCACCTAATTAGAATGGAGTTAATTTCCTTCTCCGTGTTTAAGGGGAGGCAGTCATTGCCGGGTAGGATGGTCACAGGTTGGATCCTGGGGCTGGAGTAATATGTTTGCTTTATGAAGATGAGAACATTAATTGCAACTTTCACTATTACAAAAGAGCCCTGGGTTCTGAGAGGAAGAGAGGGGGCAAAGGCGAGTGCATAGAGTGGGCATTGGGAAGGGGAAGGGAAGAGGAGTGGAAAGGGACAGCCTTGGTGTGGGTTGGGTACTGACTGTGGAGACTCACCAGAAATGAGCCTGTGAGCCTCCTGGGGACAGCTGGACAGCTGTCCCAGCCGGCCACTGGCACTGTTTAGATGAGGAGCACCTGCTTCAGGAAGATGGTCTATCCTGGGGGCTCTTTCCTGTAGGAAAACAGCACCTTTGTTTGTTTGTTTTCCTTCAACAGATCTGATACTCCGTCATCCCCGCTGGCTTTAGTTTCTTTACGTTCCCAGCTGGGGCATTTCCCTGGGGATACCTTTGTCAGCCTGGTCAGATGAGGGCAGGCACTGTCACTTAGTCCTGGGTGTAGGGTTTGGGGCCTGGGCACTCCCCTACCTGACTAGTTCTATTCCTGAACTATTGGACCTCCCAGGACCCTCCAAAATCGGAGACCCTAGTGAACAGAGATGGAGGGTAGGTAGCTGAGCGGAGCCCATCTTCACTGCATCCCACTCCTCACTCCCAGTTAACCCTAACGTTGCCAACTAAGTGAAAACCTCGCTCCTGCCTCCTGATACCCCTGCCGCCTCCAAGAGGTCGTTACCCCGGCAGATCCAGGAACCAGGGACTGTTCCCTTCGGCCCTGTGTGGACAGACAAGCCCGGGCCCGGGGTGGAGGTTGCTGCTGGAGATGGGGCTGGGGTCAGCGCAGTCCCCATCCCCTCCCGGGGCCGTGCAGCCACTTCCCTGCCAACCCCGCCGCAGCCCTCCCCCTCACCCGGCCGCGCCGCTCTGACCGATTCGGCCCGAGTGGTGGCGCCCGGGGGTGGGGGTGGGGGCGGGCGGGGGACAGCGGTCCCCGCGAGCAGCCCCGCCTCCTCCCGCGCACCGCCCCCGAGGAGTCCGCGGGGAGGAGGAGACTCGGGCGCAGAGCGGGGGCCGCGGGAAGCGGGAAGGGAACGCGGGAGAGCGGTGGGGCCCGGCCGGCCCAGGGGCGCCCTCGCCTCCGAGCTGGGTGCCGGAGCCGGGGCCGGGAAGAGGCGGAGGCCCGCGAGGCTGTGAGTAAGGAGAACTTTGGTGGCGAAGGGACCAGGCGTCCCGGGGTCGCGAGGAGGCGGCGGCGCGGGGCCGAGGCCATGGGGGCCGGCGGCAGGGCTAGCG